GTTGACAATGATTATAATTAGTAAAAACGCCCTGTTCAGGACAAGCCGAGAGATATTGGGGCATTATTTCCTCATCCACACTTACGCCGCAACGACTCTGAACGCGAGATCCTTGGCTGTAAAGATACCCGAAAGATGCTCCTCATCGTTAATGACCAGGACACAGTCTGCACGTTTTGCAGCCATGTTCTGAGAAGCTTCCGTGACTGTGAGCGACTCTGACACGGTCAAGGCCTGGGAAACTCGCAAGGCCGAGACAGTGCCAGCCATCATCTTCTGAGTCTGCTTGGCCTTGCGAGAGCTATGGCGCTTCTTGGACAGCTCTTGCTCAATCTTTCGTCGAATAGCCTACATTTCACAATGCATGAACATAAAAGGCAGATGAGCAATTGGACAAGAGGATTTTATGTTGACGATAAATTCATTATTCACACAAAGCTGTACCTCATCCTTCTTGGATTGACGATGGCGGGCAGATTCGCTGAAGCTCGAAGAGACATCAGACATTTGGTCATTAGTACGGCTGCTCACGAGGCCTGAGTAGGCCTTGCCAGCCTGGGGTGGTCGAAGAGAACTGGCCATTGACATGATGAAGGGACTCTATGTGAAGAGGCTGGATGGATGCGAAGAAGAGGAGGATAAGAATGGCAATGGTGCAGGATTAGTGGGATAAAAGCATAAATGAAGCAAACGAAGAGGAACTAGGGAATGGATTCGGAAGTACACGGCCACAGTCCAGAAGCACGAGCACAACAGGGTTGGAGCTCTGGTCACAAGGAACGAAAACACTGAGCAGAAATATAAATCGGGAAAACGGTGGGAAAGGGAATCCCATCCATCCATCCATTTGGTGGTGGCTATGGACATTAGGACATTACCAGCAGAGTCGAAGAAGGGGTAGCGGAGGATGACCGATGGAGCAGAAGGACAAGTAGAAATAAAAAAGAGAAGAGGTGATGGGGCAAGAGCGAGAGCAAGAATGGAGGAACAATGAGTGGGCACGGAGAGAAGAGAAAAAAATAGAAGACAGCGTAACTAGAGTATGCTTTTCTGTGCCTGAAAAAAAAAAAAAAAAAAAATCCACTAACCGCCACTGCGGGGAAAATGCTACAGCACAGGCGATAGTCCTTTCGGTGACTGACCAACCATTGGTCCTTGGGAACCTTGAACCAGCCCTTGGGCGTTGCTCATTCTTCTTTCATCTTCCACAGAACACGACGCCGTAGGACACTCAACAAGAACAACAATCGGATTGGACCAACACAGGGACATACGCAGCCAGAATGTCATTACCAGTGCTCAGTGGAATCATTCCTCAACAGTTCATCATCGCCAACAATGAACTTCTCACAGCTCTTGTCCTGCTGGCACTCGTCGCCATCATAGGCATCGCTGGTATGCTCTTCCCATCATTGCACCAACCGCCCAAAATGCACATACAAAGGAAAAAGAAGAAGGAAGACCAGTAATACTAACACCTCTGTTGCCCTTGATTTCCTCATGACACTTTTGCTCCGCCAGTCTCGGCTTCGTTTGGTGGCAAGAAAAACGTCAAGAACACGATTCTCATTACTGGATTGCCCTTTGCAGGAAAAACAGTGATCTACTATCAGGTAGAGCACGGGGGATTCTGGACGAATGAAGCGGCGCTGTGCCACCCACGCTACAATAATGGAGTTCTAACTGATGCATTTATTGATTTTATCGACTGCTCGCCTTTCAATGATAGATCGGCAGCAACAAGACTGTCGAGACTGTAACGTCTATCCAGGAGAACGAAGCTGATGTTGCTTTGATCGAGGGGAAGGTAATAGGATTCCTTGTTCATATTATATGCTCATTTGCCTATGGAAAATTTATCAGAATTACTGACACCTTCCTACTTCTCTTACAGCCTTCGATTCATACTGTGGATATTCCGGGACATGAGCGCCTCCGTTTTAAATTTTCAGAATTCATGCCCATCGCTCGTGCAATAGTTTTCGTCGTTGACAGCGCGACCGTTTCAAGGCAATCACGTCTCCTGGCAGAGTGAGTAACGGATGTGGGATAAATGGCTATGGCTATGGAGCAACCATTGGATCAAAGGATCAACTTCATAAATTACGGATACGAAACTAAAGTCTTCATGATCAATTGTCACAGGTACCTTTACGACATTCTCTCCAACAAGTTTACACTGAACGAGAAGATACCCATCCTAATCGCTTGCAACAAGTCTGATCTTTTAACCGCATTCCGGAAGGATCGCATCCAGTCTTTGCTCGAAACAGAAATGTAATTATCAGTTGGCGTCCTGGCGCTCCAATACAAATGCAAACGTGGAAACATGAAAAATGTACATGATCGCCTAATCATCTTAGCTTTGATTTTCTTATATAGCAACAAGTTGCGCCACACAAGGGCTGCAGCTCTAGATACCCAAGACTCTGATAGCAACGAGAGCGTGTACTTGGGATTTGAGGGAAAGGATTTCAGTTTCCAGGATCTGGAGAATGATGTTGAATTTATCGAGTGTTCTGCTGAAAACAAGGACATTGACAGCATCAAAGACTGGATGGCTGCTGTTGCCTTGTGAGGTTGATGCCCAAGGAATCATACAGCAGGCGGAAACGCTTAGAAACAATAAAATTCTCGTAAAACAGAAGATTTTTTTATTCAAAAGGATCCCCTAGACATGCCCATGTCCTCCCGTCTATGATGGCAATCCATGGTTGTGCACAACCTGTGTCACATTTGATAGCGCCAGGCTACCCCTACGTGATCTGTCGCGCCATACGGCGTCTTTTAGTCAAGACCCATCGTTAATAAAGTTGTTGTTAATCCTCCTAATCTCTCCATCAGTCCTAAATGGCAACGTCCTTCATAATGCTGCAATACTCGATCGTCTGCCTCTGTGTAAAACAGAGAATCGGGGGGGGTTTTTTTGGGCGTTATTAAAATTTAATTAAATCCTATAATTTGGTTAGGATATAACGTATAATCTGTCTATGAGAAATTTTTTTCGACAACGAATATCAATCGTTGTTTGTATGGTGTAGTTGGTTTATCACGTCTGTCTAACACACAGACGGTCCTCGGTTCGAGTCCGAGTACAAACACTTTAATTTTGCCTTTCATTGTGCCTGTTTTTATTTCAGTTCGGAAATCGAGGTCAGATCTCCGAACCCATATTTCTATCCCATGTGAATTCTGAGCACTTACTGCAAGTGTGCTTCTGGCGCGCTTTTTTATTTTTTATTATGAAGGGAGTGCTTATAAAATTGGAAAGCATGTAAGGTCTATATTGCTGCTGAGGAGTTCCACTCTGTCTTCATCCTTCATCTATACAGCTTATCTAAAGGGGGAACCTCTACTGCAAGGAGTGTATAACGTGCTCTCTAAAGTGTCTGTGTGGCAGGCGGTTGCAGAGTAGATGATGCTGTCAAAGTGCCAATTTCCCCGCACTCGCGTGTCCAATCAAGGCAAGGACACAAGGGTTTTTGTTTGTGTGTGTGCGAGTGAGTGCAAGTACATTAATGGTGGTGCAGAGTAAAACGAACGCGCCGGATATTCAGTGTTGTAGTCCGCCATTTTCATCAGCATGTGCTTCTGGGCACCCATCTGGAGTAGCATTCAAGACTAAAAATATCGATAGAAACACCTCTTGTGAATATAGACCACACATTGGCTATGCTGAACTGCCACGCCTCAAAATGCCGAGCCGCTCTACATGAACAGTCCTCGGGGTCGGTCTTGATGGCGATCTACTGGTCGCCCTTCTTCGATTATCCATTTCGTTTCTCCGAAACTAAGAGTCAATTGGAATGAGCAGTAGGGGAGGAGTACATGTACAACAAGAGAGAGTAATACTCGGACAGATGGAATAAAAAAGAGCGCAGACAGCCAGGCAGGCAGAGAGACCGATAGTACCGAGATGAACAAGGTTCACATGCATGACGATAGGGCCATGAAAAAATGTTGACGGGCCACGAAAAAGGTTCCTTTTTGGGGTGTGCCGGACATTGCTCTGGCTGGCTGTCGGATCTTGAACCTGAATATACCGTTCGCTCAAATCAAAACACACCAGCACAAGGGAGACGCGACGAGCCTTTGGATGCAAATGTGCATTTCGGAAATGGACTTCTGTATATATCCTCGGCATCCCTCCCTCTTCTTTTCTTCTCTTTTCTTCTCTCTTCTCTCTTTTTCTCTTCACTTCTCCTTCACCTCACCCCCACTTCACCCTCCCTCCCTCTCTCACTCCCCACTCTTTGTTTTTTTTTTCTTCTTTCATTCTCATCCTTCATCCTCATTCCTGATCTGATCTTGCTTTCTTTGCCCTTTCTGTTCTGTCGTTTTGCATTGCTGATTCCATTCCCTTCACAACTGTCACATACTTCACATCTTTAAAACACACATAATGTTCTCTTCCGGAGCTATTTCTCGCACTTGGAAGGTAGGAAACGCCCACGCCATGTCCTTGTTCTCTTACGCGCTGGATTCGACGCGTGTTTAGCTGACTGACCGTGTCCCTTCATTCCATCTAGGCGGCTGCCATCAAGGCTCCCCTTCGCACCTTTGCTCAGGCTGCCACTGGCTCTGCCCGCAAGGTTCAGATGTCCAACTTTGAGAAGGATCAGCACATCAACTATCAGCGCATCGAGGACAACCTCGCTATCGTCAGAAAGAGGCAAGTTTGACCGTCTGTCACATTTGCCTTGTTTGGATCTGACAGTGGGGCGTCATTGTAGCGTGATTGCTAACATTTCATTATTTGTACACGATCGCATCTGGGCTCTCTCCCATATTCTTTCTGGAATTCGTTATCATATCTTTTTTTCAATAACAGATTGAACCAGCCCTTGACTCTCGCTGAGAAGATTGTCTACGGTCATTTGGATGATGCTAAAAACCAGGACATTGAGCGTGGAAAGTCTTATCTTAAGCTCCGTCCTGATCGCGTTGCCTGCCAGGATGCCACTGCCCAGGTACCATATTTGATTCCCCACATGCAATGCACGATCCCGTCACATCTGATCTGATCAGATCAGTGTGAGTGACTATGCATGTTCAATGGCTAATGTTTAGTCCCATCTTCTATGATTGTCACAGATGGCTTTGCTCCAGTTCATGTCTGCTGGTCTTCCCAACGTTGCAGTCCCCTCCACCGTCCACTGCGACCATTTGATTGAGGCCCAGGTCGGTGGTGCCAAGGATTTGTCTCGCGCCAAGGACATCAACAAGGAGGTTTACGACTTCTTGTCCTCCTCCTGTGCTAAGTACGGTCTCGGCTTCTGGAGACCCGGTTCCGGTATTATTCACCAGATCATTCTCGAGAACTATGCCTTCCCCGGAGGTCTCATGATCGGAACCGATTCTCACACCCCCAATGCTGGAGGTCTCGGCATGGTTGCCATCGGTGTCGGTGGAGCTGATGCCGTCGATGTCATGGCTGATATTCCTTGGGAGCTCAAGTGCCCCAAGGTCATCGGAGTCAAGCTCACTGGTCAGATGTCTGGCTGGACCTCTGCCAAGGATATTATCTTGAAGGTCGCCGGTATCCTCACTGTCAAGGGTGGTACTGGTGCCATTGTTGAGTACTTCGGACCCGGTGTTGACACCTTGTCCTGCACTGGTATGGCCACCATCTGTAACATGGGTGCTGAAATCGGTGCTACCACCTCGCTCTTCCCCTACAACTCGCGCATGTCCGACTACCTCAAGGCCACCACCCGCCCTTACATTGCCGAGTGGGCCGATACCTTCCAGCACAACTTGAAGGCCGATGCTGGCGCTCACTATGATCAGCTCATTGAGATTGACCTCAACACTCTTGAGCCCCACATCAACGGTCCCTTCACCCCTGATCTCGCCACCCCTCTCAGCAAGTTCAAGGAGGCTGTCAAGGCCAATGACTGGCCCGCCAAGCTCGAGGTCGGTTTGATCGGTTCCTGCACCAACTCCTCGTACGAGGACATGTCCCGCTCTGCCTCCATTGCTCGCGAGGCTTTGGACCACGGCTTGAAGGCAAAGTCCCTCTTCACCATCACTCCCGGTTCCGAGCAGATTCGCGCCACCATTGAGCGCGACGGTCAGATGGAGACCCTCAACGCTGCCGGTGGTGTCGTTCTTGCCAACGCCTGCGGACCCTGCATTGGTCAGTGGGATCGCCAGGATGTTCCCAAGGGCACTAAGAACTCGATCATTACCTCCTACAACCGTAACTTCACTGGACGTAACGATGCCAACCCCCAGACCCATGCCTTTGTCGCCTCGCCCGAGATTGTTACTGCCATGACCTTTGCCGGTGACTTGACCTTTGACCCTACCAAGGACACTCTCATTGGCGCCGATGGCAAGCCCTTCAAGTTCTCTGCCCCCAACGGCAACGAGCTCCCTCCCCGTGGCTATGACCCTGGTGAGGAGACCTACCAGGCTCCTCCCAAGGAGAAGGGCAACGTCCAGGTCCAGGTTTCCCCCACCTCGAACCGTCTTCAGCTCTTGGAGCCCTTCCAGAAGTGGAATGGACAGGACATGAACGACATGCCCATCTTGATCAAGGTCAAGGGCAAGTGCACGACCGATCACATCTCCATGGCCGGTCCCTGGCTCAAGTTCCGTGGTCACTTGGACAACATCTCCAACAACATGTTGATCGGTGCCCTCAACTCTGAGAACAACGCCGTCAACAGCGTCAAGAACCAGTTCACTGGCGAGTACAACACCGTTCCCGGTGTTGCTCGTGACTACAAGGCCAAGAACCAGCCCTGGATCGTCATTGGTGACGAGAACTACGGTGAGGGTTCTTCCCGTGAGCACGCTGCCTTGGAGGTCCGTCACCTCGGAGGTGCTGCCGTCATCACCAAGTCGTTTGCCCGTATTCACGAGACCAACTGCAAGAAGCAGGGTCTCTTGCCCCTGACCTTTGCCGACCCTGCTGACTATGACAAGATCTCGCCCTTTGACAGGGTCTCGATCCAGGGCTTGACTACCTTCCAGGAGGGCGTTCCTTTGAACTTGCACGTCAAGAAGGAGGATGGCTCTGCCATTGACATCAAGCTCAACCACACCTTCAACGAGGACCAGATCAAGTGGTTCAAGCACGGCTCTGCCCTCAACCAGATGGCTGCCAAGGCCCAGGCTCGCGCATAAACGTAGAAAGGTCGTTCGCTTTTGTTTTCTAGTTTTCATCTTTTGTCTGCCACCCTGTAATATATCCATCCATCCATCTTTACAATATAAAGACTTGTTGCACTTTAAAACTTGCGTTCCAGAAGAAATGCTTTTGCTACGTTATCGAAGAATTTGAAGAGGATATTAAAGAGTTTTAGCTAGTGATAAAATCTTGGCTTTAAGAGTAATAAAATATTATCGACATGATTCCTTACCGAGAATGTTTAGTGTGCTTGCAGACACACATAGTTTTGGGGTTGAGGTAGTTACTCTTGCCTAGGCACATGGTGGGCGGTAGGTTCTTCCTCAGAGGCTGCTCGTTTGCGCGCTCGAGTTCCTTGTTGTCCAGAATCCATGATATTGATGTTCGAATGGCTAGTACTGCTGATAGTACTCGCGCTGGTGCTAACATCTGCCCGCGACTCCACAGCTTGCTCCCAAATGTACTTCCCATTTACATCCACCGGTTGGAGATATAGCGGTTGTCGCTGATGGAGTAAATGCCCAAGAGCAGCATTGCAGATGTTATGACCGGCCATCACATCCCGGTGCATGTAGGTCTTGCAAGTCTTACAATACAGCCCACGGATCTCCACGTCCGCTCACAGGCTGGGCACTTTTTGAAAATGTAATATTCATTCATTCCCACGACAATGTACTTAAGGAAGCGAGCCTAGCAATGATAACTCATTAGTATCCTTGATATTAAATTTTGCACGCTCATGTACAGTTACTTTTTGAACAAAGTACGACTGGAAGGATGTATGCAAAGAGGAAAGCCCAGTCTTTGTTGAAAGCTTTCCAAGGCCTATCCCGATCACAACCTTGTTCGCTTCATCCTTGGACTTACCTGTTGCTTCTCCGACCATTTTGAGCAAGCGGTTGGTGACAATCGCGAATCCGGCATCAAGAACTTCCTGGCATCTCACTACTGCTTTTTGACAGA